ACACACACACACACACACACACACTGACACACACACACACACACACACACACACCTACACAAAAGCTACCTGTTTTTCTCCCACAGTTAGTGACTACACAATCTTTCTGTCTTTTTGTCTCTCTTCATCTCCCCCTTCCCAGCCAGTGGGTGTGTCAACAGGGGATTGGTCCTTTCTGCTGGGTAATTGATGAATTATATGCAATATGCAAATGAGACGCCATTAATCTCCTGACTGACAGCTTCGTTTATAGGGCCTTAATGACGGCTGGATTAGATTCTAATTAAAATCTGCTCAAAGACGCCCCACGCTAGGAAGCTGCTGCTTCTAGTCCTTCTCTCCCTACTCCCCCCCCCATCTTTCACACCTTTTTTTTCTTACTCTTAGGCACTCTTTCTCTATATCATCTTATCCTCTCACTTTACACCCCCTCATCCATCACTTCATCTCTTTTTTTCAACTTTATTGTTCTCGCAGTTTCTTTTGTTTGCTGTCACACCTTCTTCTCCCCCCCCCCTCCTCCTTTCCCCTTTTTCACTCACTGTCTTTTAATATCACGCTGACACATACGGACACACACTTACCCACAGACTCATGTTATGTCAAACTGCTATGAAAGGAGATGAGGTACGCTGGTTGTCATTAGGCCTGATGTGGCCCGTGTCATTTCCACTGTCAGGACATTCACACCGTTTAGTCAGAGCTGAAGTGATGCCTGACAGCTTTTCGCATACTTCCTCCAGGATTGATTGAGCATGCCCAGCTCAATCACACTGCACACGCACACACGCACTCACAAGAATCTGTGTGGATGTGTTTGCAGTCACAGGCTTTATTGAGGAAATTTGTGACACGGCGGGAAAAGAGAAATGAATAGCCAAATGAGCAGAGGATTGAAAGTGAAGGAGGCGAGCGAACACATTTAATAAGCAAACAAATGAATGAGTAAGCTGAACAGTAATGAGGTGCTTTATTGATGCCATAGGGAAACTCCTTTTTTGCTTGCTCGTATCCACAGGGAGGTCAAATTTGCTGTACAGCAGCCTTCCTGGAACTGGTCAGGTTTCAGTGTTTTTGCTTGTTGACGCTTCAGCAGGATCAGAGGTTTATAGACTGAAGGACACTTTGTCTAACCAGGCCACCCATCTCAGTCTCAGCATGCAAAACTGCCTAATGACTAACGCCAGTCTGTTTTTCTGCCTGCAGTTCGAGGCCCGGACGACCGCCCAAGAGGCTGCAGAGTGTGACAGAGGGCGGGACTCACCACATGCTGTCTCACACCGGTCTGATGCATGCTGGGATCATGCCTCCTGCAGGTGACCACCCAGAGCAAACCGCGCACATACCGTACATACATGTTCTGCAGAAGCAATATTAAAATAGCGCAGGATCGTCGGCCTGTGTGTTGCTAAAATCTGCACTTTAAATCAGCCAGTCAGCCGTAAAATACTGCTAACCAAAACTGGTGCTTTCCCAGATAGAGGAACTTTTCGGTTTGTTTTCTGTTTTTTGTTACCCTTTCATTGCTTTATATTATATTTGCTTCAGTTCATGGGGCCTCAATCAAAAGATTTGATTTTTTACAGACCGCTCTGTTAATAAAAATAAATAAATAAAAATAAAGATGTTTAACACTGAAAAAGAATAGCTGTAACTGCTCCACGTGTGGTTATATGCTCCATTTTATATTAAAAAGTAAAAAAAGTGATAATATAAATCAATAACATGGTGACATGTTAAAAACACTCATTCATAAAATAAATATTCAAAGTTTTTATTATGAAGATTTCTCTAACATACTAATCTTTCATTATCAGACTGTATTACAGCAAAAAAATACATAGAGAATTACTTTAATGTGAAGCTGTTTTTGAAAAACATACAAAACAATTACAATCAATACTTTTGTCAAGGATTTGTAGATTTAAGTGGTGTCTCTTCAGGATCTCTATCAGCAAAAGTTTTCAGATCTTGACAGAGATGGTTTTGCCGCCAGCTCTTTTTCCCCGTCAGTTTGCAGAAAGAAAAGGCCGCTTGTGCAGCGCAGAGAGGGAGGAATGTGTTTCACTACTTGTTGTGCGGCCCCTCATAATGGAAGATTTTGCCTATCATCAATAGCATGAAGAGGTGGGGATCTGGGAGGTGACCAGTGTGTTGATTAATAAAATTTGCATATGCACTGCTGACACATGAGAAACAGCTCATAAGTTGCAAGCTTGGTCCTTTTTTTTTCTTGAATTGCAAGTACACAAAGTCCTCTGGTAGCTTGAGTTAGAAATTTAATCTTTAGACCTTTGAAATATGACTCTGAATATATTTAATCCGATGTTGTAAAACCTCCTCTTACTCTTACTCCTGCAATTATAAATCAAGTTTTCGGATAATTAGATGTTTTAAAGGCAGTAGCAGATGACTCATGTTGGGTGTGAATGATATCAGAATCTGTATATTTGTGTGTCATTACTGTAGTGTTTAGCCTCTTTCATGTACTTTACCACTGCTAGAGATCATAATGCTGCTTGTTTGGTCACAAACAGTTTGTGTTTGTGTCTATTGTAAAGTGTTTTCACGTGTCTTAGTGTGTGTGTGTGTGTGTGTGTGTGTTTGTGTGTGTGTTTGAAGCACATAGAAAGAAAGAGAAGTAATTGTTAGCACCTCACCGCTCTCAAAGTTGCCCTTGGCTTTGTGCTCTTCACTGCAACCTGATCTTTTCATTCCCCGCCTCAAAAGAAGCCATTTTCTATTAGCCTCCGCTTCCTCTCACTGTTCAAAGGTGCTTATGAATGTGTGTTGTGTCTGTGTGAGCGCTCAAGAGCATCTTTCTCAGTGGGAAAAGAGTCTTTTTCCACCAAAGGAGAGGGCACGATGGCAATGTCAGCGCCACTGATTAAAACTGGCCACATGAGAGGGGAGAAGGAGACAGAGAGATGGAGGACATTTGAGCGTAAAAGGCAGGAAAGATCTTTGATGTGATCCTCCTTAGTCGCTTTTTCTCGCCTTCATGTGCTTACACACACACACATGCAGCAGAGTGGCTTATGTCCTGCTGTGATGCTGACATTTGAAAAGGTAAAGTAAGGAGAGGGGATGGGAGGAGAGGGCAGGAAAGAGAGGAAGAGAAGATGAGAAGAAAAAGAACAATTTGTTGTGGTTGTCAACGTCTTTGGCAGACAAACTATTCACCTCAGACTCCCATTGTTTAAGGGAGAAAAAAAAAACGGCAGTTGAATTCTTTTTTGCAAATGTTTAGATGTATCCTAGATCAGGAAATTAAGACTTAGAGTTTGTTTGTATTTCCTCCCTTGTGTTTGCACAGTTGTGTGGTTCGTCTCAACCTTAATAATTCACCATGTTTGTCTGTATTAGTGCCAGGGATATTTAATTTTCTATTTTAAAGGCTGCCCGCTGGGTCAAAATACCTTCTGAGGTTCAAGGCACAAATTAAAATGTGTGTCTGCCTTCGTGAAGTGCACAACCTCTATTAAAAGGTATCTTCACATTTAGTTGTATGTGTCTAATTCCTTATTTCTGATAAGGACGGGCTGTCTGGTTAAAAGGTGGAGCTGCTGCCACTGCTGGGTGTCACCCTGTGTGCTGTGCTGTGGGATCTGATATCCCTGTGTGGGTGAGATGAATGTCTTGGCTTGTTCCTATCACTGCCGATTCCCTGGCAGCCTAAATGGCCAGTGCAGCGGTGCAGTCAGAATGAATGGCTGGCCTCTGTCTTCCTGTGACAACCTCCTGCCTTCCCACTGCTCTAATCCTCCACCGGGGGCCATTGATCTGGCTCTTATTGATTCTTTTTTTCCCCCTTCTCTTCTCCCTCTCAATATCTGTCTCCCTCTCAGATCTCTCTGCCCTGGCCAAAAAGATCAAGTTGGAGGCGATGGCCAGTTACCACAGCAACCAGCAACATGGCGGACCAAACGGAGAGAATGGTGACCACAACCCCGGACTGGGTGAGTCACTCCTGTTTTGCCTGTTTCCAGCTAAACGCGCATGCATGCATGCAAAGTGGTCCGTTATAGCCATAAAAAGGTCGTTGTGTAAGCATGTCTGTGATTTCAAGTCAACACAACAAAAGCAACTGTGGCACTCTGGATTCAAGCTGATTGAGACCAGGATGTGACATCACATCTGCTGCCTGTTTTCTTCCTTTGAAAGCCGATAAATGCAAGCAAAATACAGGAAATGAGTGGAAATGAATACATCTGAATCAGTTCATCCAAATAATCCAAAAGGTAGTACACATTACAGGTTTTTAGCATTCACCTTTTTTACCAGGATAAATGATTATAGGAATTGATGTGGGAAATTCAGTTCAGTTCACATTTTATCCTCAAAACAAGGAAGTATGATCATAAATGTATGTATGCTTTCATTTTCCTTTAAAGAAAACGTATCACTGAAATATGTTTCATGCCATAGTTTTTATTGGAAAAAGAATTGCAGCTGATATGGTAAAAAAAATGGCCCATCGATGCTTCCCAGAATGATTTAGCGTAATGTGGCATGTCAAGCATCCGGCCACGTGTGTTTCAGAGTTGGCACAATTACACCAAGCATCTCTTCCTCTGCAGCGCTCTCTATGAGAGAAAAAGATAACATGTCTGCCACGTATCGGGGTATTTAGAAATGACAGATATCTGTGATCTTCCAGCAGCTGCTCGTAATATTTGTCACATGGGTATACTGAGTAGTGTTTGATTAAAAGATTTAACAAATATAACTCCTCACTGCCTCATTGAATGTTCACGTAGCTATGGATTTTCAAATTAGCCCAGCCAGTGCTGCAGCCGCTCGCACTCGGCTCCACTCAAACTCCCCGCACTCTCTGGCCTGCCCGTCAGTAAACGCCTCACAATCTGTTACTAATGATTGACAAAACGTTGTCACGATCACCAGGACTGATGTCTTCAGTTTGTAACTTATGGCCGGCTGTATTAATTCAACATGTTAGAGAGCGGCAGGCCAAATGCGGGATGCTCAGCCATCTGTAGCTGCTTTATTTTTCTGTCGTAAAAATAGACTCCATACGAAAATGTTGTAGATGTAGAAACAACATTGAAACTATCATTTTCTCTGGAGGGCTCTTCAATGTAGGTGTAATGGTTGTCTCTTGTGTAGAGTAACATTAAAGGGAAAAGAGTCTTTGCTTTTCATGGTTGAGAAAACAGTATGTCCTCATTTACTGTTAAGTCATTTTGTCCCTGGAAGGCACAGAATCACCTAATTTTGGAACCGAATCCCTTTGGTTGCTCATTACATGTGCAGGTGTACTTTTAAGTCTTAAGTTATTAAAAACGACCCCCTTCACTGCTCCCCTTCCTGGCTGTGCAGTGTGGATGAGCAGCCAGCAAAAGTGGAGCATCTGTGGATGAGAGTAAGCACACCAGGATGATAGAGAGATGAATAAGATGAGAGGCTGAAGCCAAATCAATAGTCTTCTCTCTAATTCACTATCCTGAATGCAAACGACAAACGCTGGACAATCGATGGCAGGACGAGCACATGCACACACATGCACACACGCCAACATAAATGCATTCGCACAAAACAAATCGGGCGCACCATCTCCACTGTTATCGACAGGTTAAAGTGACATCAGTGTGTTTAGACAGATGACAGGGCTTATGGAGGTCTGTGCGGAATACACTATCAACCTGGGACACACACACTTAGCATGTGGAGCACACGTCGATGGCTTTAGGTTTGAAATGAGAAGTTGACCTTGTGTTTTTTGTTTTTTTTTTAGAAATCATGAAGACGTACGAGCAAAATGTCCTCTTTGAAGTCTTTGGTTTTGTTTTCTGTGCCCATGTCGGTAAATGCCGCCAGCATTAAGCGCTGTTTACCGTTGTATACAATCAGTTACGATTGTCAGCATCTGTGTGCAGTTAGGTGGCTTAGTAACCACCAGCCATTATAAACCTGTAAAGCTTAATCACTGTTAATGATAGAGTCAAGTGGAAACACACAGACAAACACACACACACACACACACATACAATAAATACATAAGCACAATGTGTTTTTTCCATACCACCACCCACTGCCTTATGGGAAGGACAGGCCTCTTCCAGGACTTTAACCACTACAAAGGCAATCTCAGATTACACACATGCACACACTCTCGAATGCTGAGTGTGACACCTTATGGGCTGCAGAAGAGCGGGGAGCGGCCATTTCTGCATTTAACAAGATCTTCTGGGAAATTTACAGTAACTGTTTGTTTACAGTAATGGTTTGTTTGGATAAACATAAGAGAGGCACTTTGACTTTTGATGTTTTTTAATGAAACATAAGAGAAAGTGATGGGAGGACAGAGAAAGTGAGGGGGGGGGTGGAGTTAGGGAGTTAGGGGGTTACAAAGAGGAATAGAATGAGAGTGAAAATTGAATTATTGAGGGAGGTGGGGTTGGACGGAGGGGCAAAAGTGGAGCATTGGTTTCCAACTGAGGCTTAATATTTGGCTGCTAGTTGATTGTCGGAGCATCTGGTTATTCAACTCCATTCAGACAGATCTTTTGTCTGGATTGGTTTCTGCTCTGGACAAGTGACAAACTAATCTGCCAAAATGCACAAAGCACTGCACATATGTCCGGCGAGCCCGACTCATAAAGTAAACGCCTCGCCATTTATTTCTTACTTTGCCTTCTCTTTCCCTTTCTTTCAGTCTTTTCTTTCCTTTCTACTCCCCTTTATTTGTTCTATTTCATCTCTCCTCTTTGGATCGCCTTTTTTGTTTTGCATCCTCTCGTTCTATTATTTGTGACAATTGTGCGGAATAGAGTCCAAGATTTTTTCTTTTGTGTTTATAATTACCCGGCGTGCATTACTGGCCCAGCACCAGGACTGCCATCAGCTTCTTTTGTTTCACTTCCTCCCTGTGTTTCTTTTGTTTTTGTTTTTCCTTTTATTAAATGATAAATATTTATGTCATTTTCTCCCCCCCAACAGGATTGTTTGTTTCATGAATAGAAGGACTGCAACAGCCCACTAGGGTGCTGTTGAGAGGAAGGGTTTTCTTCATAGATAGTGACTGCCTCTGTTAAAGAGAGGAGTGTGAACAACAGATTGGCTAAGATAATAAGTTCACTTCGAAGTGCAGAAAACCCATTAGACTGACATACAAACCCTTTCATGAAAATATATTAATGTTATCTAAATCCAAGGTGACAGTAGTGAAAGTCCTTGAGGTCTTTACACCTTTGAGAGTTTTTGCCTTGCTAAGTAAAACACAAACAAGTCACATCCTCCTTCACTTTGTACCTTTACTTATCTTTTTTCCACACTCAACACGTCTAAACCCTCGATGCACACAAAAAGTGTCCACCCGATGTCTTACAGGACTGTGATGTTGTGATTTCCAGGTCTTGAAATGTAATTAATACATCTAAAAACTGTGCCTGAAATGAAAATAAAAGAATAAAAGAATAAAACTAAAATTCCACTATTTTTGCAAAACTGCAAAACTTTTAAAACGTGCTGCTGGTCATAGAATAAGCAACAAACTTATTGAAGACTACTTTAACTCTGAGGTTGCTCCCCCCCCCTTTTTCTCTTCCAGTTCTGGATCAGTTGCCGTTCATGATGATGTCACATCCTCTGATACCTGCCAGCCTGGCGCCGGCTTCCGTTTCCATGGCGATGGGCCAGATGAACCGACTGAGCACGCTTGCCAGCATGGCCAACGTGGCGCAGCTCCATGCCAACCCCCCTGCCAGGGCTCCCACCTCAGTCATTAAGGTGAACTCAAGAGGCCCATCAGCCTCACGGGCCTGACCACCGGCCAGGAACAGTCCGAGTCCACATAACTTCTAGACCCCGAAGGAAAGCAGAGGCGTAGGAGTATTTTTAGACTGAAACATAATTAGAATTTTTACCACTTTAATATTAAATGAAATAGTTTTCTGTTTTTAGACAAATTAATCTTTTCAACTTTAGTGAGCATTACTTACAATTACGTTTTGGATAAAAAAAATCAAAAACAGTAAATATCTACCAGCAGAAATGTTTGTTCTGCATCTTTTCCAGGATGAAACTAATTTTTCCTTTTGTCTATGTCATCAAAAGAAGTAAAAAAAACCTTTGTGTAGAATATCAATATTATCTTTACAAACTCTTTGCCCATCTGAATTTTACAAGTCATCTTTCAGAATTTTGATAATTCCAAACTAATTATTAGACTTAGTTTAGAGTATTTCCCGTGTGTCCTTTACTTGTTAGCATTTAGTAACTAAGTAATTCACATTTGTGTGGGGTTTCTTTTGTCAGGAGCGAGTGCTGGACAGCCCTTCTCCTTCCCCCTCCATGGAGGAGGCTCAGATGTCGTCCAATCACAGCAGCAGTGTATCAAGTTCACCGTCGCACACAGAACGCACGGCAGAAACCACACGTATGTACTCACCTGCATGAACTCTGAGAGCTGTTACTGTCACATGCAAAACAACTTAGCGCCGTATCTCACGCTTACCAGTTTTATCTGCAATCATTTTCTTTCAAGATTCACACATTGACGGCCTGTCTTCGAGTCACAGTGTGTTGGGACACTCACCAGGGAGAGTGCAAGGAGCCAGAGAGGCAAATGTGACTTCGTTGGAGTATAATAAGGAGAACAAAAGGAACCACACTGACAGGGGTAAGCACTACTCACGTGTGATGCCGCACTGCAAAGACCATAAAAAAAAAAAAAAAAAAACATTTCATCTTCAATTTGGAAGTCCATTTTCAGAGTCTCCCAGCACTCACATTATTGAATTGGAATGTTAACCTTGTTTTAAAGGACAACTTCCCGCTGCGTTCTGAAAATGTGATGCTGCACGCATTAATCATTTAGTAATAGTAATGAGTAATGATTCATTTTCAGAGAAATCAATTGCCTTTGCACTAAAACTGTCAGTATTGAACAAGCAGCATTCAGTGTCCCTCCAATCAATCCATCTGTGTCATCATTTGTGCTCCGCGGATTTAAAACACCTGTGGAAAAAACCGTGAGCCTCCTCGACATTATTTATTTATTTGAGCCGAAAAGGTTCGTAATCAACTTAAACGGAAATAGAAGTATAAATGGTCGATAAGTGTTCGCTGTCTCTGCCTTTCTCTCTTCAACTCCACTCCCCCTTCGCCGTCAGTGCCCCCCCTCGGCCTCCCGCCGTGAGCAAAGACAAATAATTCAGCAAAACAGGACTCCATTAGACCAGGAAGCGGTGTTACATTAGCGAGCCATTTGCCGGGCCGCGGCCTAACGAGCCAGGCGGCCTCCCGCGCTCTCAGCTGGACCTCATCTACATAACGACCGCCTCCCTGTCGTTAGGGCCCGCGTTGCCACGGAGCTGCAACGTCAGTTGTTTGGTTCTCTCTGTCAGGGAGGTTTGCATTAGCTTAATGAGGACTGCTCAAGGACAAACAGTCAGCAGAAATCCACAGTGAGAGAAAGAGTAAGAGAGATGGTGTTTGCATGCCGGTCTTTATGGATGTGCACGTGCTTGTGCAGATGTATTCTAATAGCGAATCGCATTATTGAGTAATCGAATCTAAAAATGACAAAGGCCCCCTCAGCTGAGGTTTCAGATGCTGTCAGGTATCTGTGAATTTATTGACAAAGCAGTGATGGCACCAACCTCCTGAATGCCATGCATCACACATCGCATTTATGCAATTGATTTTCAATTGATTTTCCCTGCATGCAAATGAGGCGCATGTACATTTTCTGGATTGCAAGCTTTTGTATTTGACCCAGGACATCGCGGGATACGTTTATCATGGATTTAACAAAGTTTCAAAGCGCTCCTCAGCGCTGTCATTCTGTCAGTCCGCTGTATGATAATCTGGGTCTGAGAGAGCCGGTTTTGGCTGTGTGTGCTGTTTCAGTGGTCTTTGAACAACATATCCGTGCAGCAGAGATCAGAGGCCATCCCTGACACTTCACTCCCATTAACCAAACATCAGCAGAATTTTATTCTCTCTCTGTCTCTCTTTCTCGCCCCCCCCCCTCGCCTTTCCGTTCACTTCCGCTGACTGGCAGTCCTCACGTGGTGAAGTTCATTAGCCCTAGGGACGGGTGGGTGAGGAATAAGAGAGGGGAAAAAGAGAGGTGAAGTTAGAAGAAAAGAGAAAAACAGACAGTGACCTTGGTTAGAGAAATGGGTAAATGATCAAACAAGCTGGCAGCTGTGTGTGTGTGTGTGTGTGTGTGCGCGTGTGTATTTATGCCAAACGTTGTGTGTGAGAGTGAGGTAAAGTAGGCGTAAAACAGTAACTCAATAAAGGATCAGTCACATCCAAGGAGCCTAGGGAGCCCACGCTGCTGACTGCGCACTTCAGCAGCACGGAATGTGTGTGTGTCTGTGTGTGAGCCACAGGAGTGTAGTTGGATGCCCTCCGCTGAGCTCGCCAGCACCTGCTAATTACCTTTCTCTACAGAGCAATGCTTTTAGCAAAAAGAGGGAGAAAGGGGAGGAGGGGGGGGGGGAAGGTAGTGCTTCTCATCTGTGAAACACCTTGAATGTGACTGTTGCCAAGACGTGAGGCCGAGGCAGAGGAGGGGAGGAGGGCGGGTTTGGAGCAGAAGATGCTGTGGTCAGCTAAGTGGAGAAAACACCGTCATTTGTCACAGACCGAGAAAAGTGCCAGATATCACATCGCACGTTCGTATTCATCTCTGCTCCAATAACTGCCGGACTCCCAGGACGTCTCTGTCCTCAGCGGCTCAGATGACAGTCAACGCGTAAAATGAGCAACTGCTTGATGCGGACGAGGGGGGGGGGGGGATTGCAGAAAATGGCTAATCTTCATCTCCCTGACTGTCACGAATATGGAACATGCACTTCTCAGGTTTACAAACAGATGGTCATCCATAATGCAGGTTCTTAACTGCTTTTATGGGAGATGTCAAGCTGTGAAGCATTATCAATAGGCAGACTGCCATCTAATAAAGGGTAACCACATTTTTAAAACCCCAAACCAGAACTTCTGCGTTTGTGTGCATGCACTTGCACACAGTAATTACAGCAAACACCCATTGTTCTGTTGGCTTTGACATGTTTAAAAGAAATGAAGTTTACTAGAAAGGCTGGAATTTGTTTTGTGCTTTAGCATGTGTTTTTGTAGAGTATTGAACCATTTACATATTTTAGGTACATACGTTTATTCCTGAATAAATGGAAATAATTGGATTCTGGGGCACTTTAACCCTTTAACAGCTATTCTTAGGAAAAAGGACAGCGAAATATTTCTTAGCATTTTTTTAATTTCTTTGGGGCAATAACAACCAGATAGTTAGGATGACACTTTATGGTAAAAATGTGAAATTTCAAATTGGAAATGTCAAAACTCGTGGTTGATGTAGACATCTCATACCTAAACTTAATTTTAGAGCTAGTTTAAGTAAGTGCACTTCCTCTAGTGTATCCAATGATCGAGCATCATCAGTGTAAAATGTGGTCCACCGAATGGAGATGAGGGGAAGATAAGGGGTTGAAGAAAAATCTGTTACATAAATGTTTTTGTGAAACATCTGTCCAAAGAATGAGGAATTATCTTTTCTGCAGAATTTCATTTCGATCAGTGTTTGCACACTGGCTGGTGCAAAATGCATGGACTGCCGAAGACCAGAATACAATATAAATAAAGACGTATAATATTTATTTTAAGTGTCTGTAATTCACAGAGTGGTGTATTTTTGTGACACTGTGACTATAGCAGATAGTAAAAAGATTTCCCTGTAAGGATTTTGTTTACATTTCTTGCAAATGTTCTTACATTTTACAAGCCTTCTTTAGTTTTTTTTGTTGAAATACTAATAGATATCACAATTGGGAAAAAAAAAAAACGTTTATTGGTCAAATGTAGTCCTCATTAATGATGTGTTCAAATAAAGACGTGGCATTACCACTGTATAGATTTCCCAAGAGTGTCAGCTCAGGTGACGCAGAGCTAACTGTGTTAAACTGATTCAGTTAGGGGTGTATCAGCCTGACTGACTAGACATCAAACTGTCTTTATGCCCTACAGATAACAGCTCCTTGGCTGCTCAGACAACCAGGGAGAGCTGTGATAGACAAGTCTACCAGAAACCCCCATCAGGCAGAGAGAGTTGCGAGAGGATATCTTACCCTGCAGGACAGAAGCTCCCAGCATGTCTCCACCACGCTCCCTTCATTTTCCCGGAAGGCTTGTCCTCCATAGAGACCCTGCTCACGAACATCCAGGTGAGGCTCTGCTGGGGCTTTATTATTATCATACTCTAAGATGAATCGGAAGGGAGATGAGCCACTCTCTGGGATTTCCTGAAATGGTAAATAGCAGATGAGGCAGACATTTAGGATGTGCAGTAATTGGGTTGGGCGTGTGCTGACCTGCTTCTCAGATTTTACATGTCTTTGTTATAGTGCAGTCACAATGAGAGCACTCGTTGACTGTCTTTTCAAAAGGGGAGAAAACAGCCCCACCTGACCCTGATGTTTTGATAGATTCAACTTTTTAACAAGTAATTAAAGAACCACCCCAAAATAGACTTGATCCATCACAGCCTTTTTTCACGTTCAGCTTAAAAGTGAAACATTGGACTTGAATGAGGCTGAGAAAAGAGCCGGATACTTTCACACTGAGACGGCTTACACAGAATAATGTGATGACTGAAGTTTAAAAAACACCTTTGCTTGATCCTTTGAAGTACTAGCTCTCCTCGGTGTATTCGAAACACTCGAGGAAGGCAGAGACCTCTCCTGTTCAGCGTTTAACCTGCTGGTGTGCGCCTCTGTGTCTCCAAGCAGGGTCTGCTGAGGGTTGCCATCGAGAATGCCCGGGCACAGGAGAAGCAGGACCAGCTAGAGAGGACGGAGCTGAAGATGGAACTCGTCCGAGAGCGGGAGCTCCGAGAGACTTTGGAGAGGCAGCTTAGCATGGAGCAAAAAAACAGAGGTACAGCTATCAATGCTAGCTGGGGGTGTTATAGTGGTTTGCATCTGTTGATTAGAGTGCTGCATTTCCAGTTTATTTACACTGACACAGTGTGTGTTTTAACACTAAACACTGATGATTCTGCTGTGCAGTTAAACAAGGTTGGTTTAATCCACTTCAGAGCTGACAGGGCGTCCATTAACTTGAAAATCAGATAAGGAAGTGAGGACACCTACAGTATATTACCCCTCAAAGCAGCTGCAGAGGTGAATTAAACTGAGGTTGGCAGTATCCTACAAACTAAATCAACTTTGGCAGCTTCACAAAAGCTGTCATCTGCAGCACAGTCAGAGCAAATTCCAACCAAGGGCATTTTGTTTGATGAGGTCACAGCAGGTGGTGAGTAAGGTTACTGTAAAGTGTAAACTCAAAGCTGCCAGTCACATGATGTTACATACCTGTTGCAGGCGACAGCGTATTGAACTTCCCTAAAAAAGGAATCTGATCAGTCATTCCAGCCCCATGATGTGTTGAGACACACACTTCCAACTTCCATCTGTGAATCAGTTTCTTTGAGCCAGAGGGAGTGACTTTGGAAAAATCCCAACAATACACCACCCCAAACTCAGAGTGTTTTGAAAATAAGTCAAAAACGTTTGATCAAAAGATTCTATTGAATTAAAACATTTGTGTGGCCTCAATAATCAAATCAAGCTGATGTGTACACAGCAAAAAAAAGTATAGAGAATTAGAAAATGTGAGGATGTTGATTTAACATGTATTTTTCCGGAAGCCTTTCACTTATGTCCTCTCTCTTCCTCAGTTTTGATCCAGAAGCGCCTGAAGAAAGAAAAGAGGAGTAAGAGGAGACTTCAGGAGGCCTTGGAGGAGGAGGTCAAACTCCGCGATCAGGCAGAGCACAGCCTGCTCCACTCTGCCAACACACACATAGGTACAGAACCCAAATACTAAGTGTTGTATTTCCGTTTTGTGCGCTAATTCTCATTTTCAGATAAGATGTCACCAACTTTCAATACAACGTAGCCCTTACTGTTAATTTGCCTCAAATTAAGTGTCTTTATTAATTGATGACCAACCCACAGGCCATCAGTCATCGGCGGCCCCTCCCCACACAGATTCTGTGACCCAAGAGGTGGATGGGACCAACGACGATGACAACCGGCTGGACACCAAGGCGACAGTACAAGGTGCAGCTGTCCAGATAACAAACACTGCTCTGTCAACGTGTAGCTGTGAAAACAGCCACATGGATTGACCAGTAAAGATACGTCTTATTGTGTTGGTAGAAAAACCATCATTCTTAAAACAACATATCCCAGAGTAGCAGGTTAAAGACAGGGTTTGTTTCATGTTATTTGGAAATTCAAAGCAAATTAAGGTTTTACATAAAGACACCACATCACCACAACATTATTTGCAGTGTTAAAAAGAATTCTCTTGTTATAAAAAAAAATCCATTTGACACTAAGAATGGTTTTATGCTTGCTGGTTTGGATTTATTTAGCTCCTGTCGACTGCTCTAAGACAACAGATTTGGTTATTTCACCTACTCCCTGCTTCTGATGCTCAACTGACCAGTCTACTGGAAGGGTTTTTAGAGATTTCATAGGGAGACTGCTCCTGAGAAATTGAGCAAAATTAAATGAAGCATGCGACAGTTCACTGGGGCTACCATTTTAATGGAGACAGGCATTTTAGTATATTTATTTTGTCCACACTGTTGTCTTCACAGAGACAGATTAATGAGAAAATCCCACATGTAACATCTTAAACACAAAGAAAAAGAAGTGGACATGATCTTTAGCCCGTCCTCATCAAAAGAGTGCATGGGTCCAGCCCACCTCTGCTCTGCACTGTGCCAAAACCGCCAAAGCAGACAGTGTGCGTGTTCAAAAGCAATTTTTAATTGAATGTCAGTGAAGCAAGAAGAGAACTGGCCACTAATTAATGGCTGTCTTAATTGTCCTCGTGACGAGTTTGTTTGGACATTATTTGCATAATTAACACAAAGTAATAAATCATTTAAAGGGGAATTGTCTGTCAGACAGCGGGGCAGGATGCATTTCCTTTGTGCCATGAAGTTTTATCACTAAAACTGAGGATTAGGGGCAAAAGCACGCTTTGAACTTAATAATGCTCTTTTGTGTGGCCATTTCTGTGCAGCAATCTCTTCAGTATATATATATATATATATATATATATATATATATGAAGCGATTATTTCTCAATGCTTTTTCCCTAACAAAACAAAAAAGTTCAGCAATCTGGTTTTTATTCTAATATAATATAAAGTTTCTTTTGGATTTCAGAGGGCAGAGCTTTCCTGCAAACTACCAGGATGTACTAAGTTTGAGATTGAAGAGCGGATGAATGGATGGATGGATGTAAGAACAGAATGATTCGGATTCTTCATTTATGACTAAACAATTGACAGGCATGCGTAATCCTGCAGAGACGTAAATCCCCACCTCCCCCACATCTCCTGGGTGACATCTGAACTTTCTCATTGCTCTCTTGTTTAATTTATTGCATTTATCAACGAATCTCAGCTGTAGTGGGAAGAGTACTTTATTCTGATGTTGTGTTTGACTGTGTTTATTTCAATCAAGGTTTTTAGATCCTAGATGAAGATGATCATAGCTGTTTTTTTTTGTCAGTGCTGTTTATTTGGACACAAGTGATGAATATAACTTGTAACAGAGTTGTGTACATATATATAGTCATCATTTTTATTATTATTATTATAAAAAATAATGGCATGTTGTAAATTACTTGTATTGTGTATGTTATGCAGTAGTGCAGTTTGACAATACAAACAATACAAATCCTTTTTATGAAACCGTGTCACTGCTTGTTTCGTTATTCACAAGTGCACTCTTGTTCATTTAATCATTTGTCATGTAAACACACATTCATTTATTTCTGAAATGTCATTATAAAAGAGTACATTACATTTTTTTTGGTTACAAATCCTGTGTGATTGCTGTGAGCGAGGAGGGGTGAGGTTTGGGGAATGAAGGGTAATCGATTTGGTCCAAAAATACATGTAAGTATTGACAAACTTACAGAAAGGTGGCAAGCAGGGTCACAAGTGTGCTTTATTTCTGTGGAGGCACATTTGTTAAAGGAAAGGCTTATTAACTGTAACCTTTGGTCAATATGTAGTTAAGCGCACATTTTCTAACAAACATATTCAAATACTTAATAGTTTTAAAAAAACAGTAACTTTTCTGTGTCTTTAAAATATGTGGTTATTTTTGTAATATGTGCCTCCAGATGATTGTAGGACAAATCTATTTTCGATTTTCCTTTGATTTTTTTTATAGACATTTTGTTGGCTAAAGCATTGTAACTTAGTAATATAAATTATATCTAGACGTGTAGTTTTTTCTATTAAGAATTTCCCTGTGATAAAAGTAAGTCTGAGAAAGTTTAAACATCTCATCAAAGGTGTGTCTGTTTGGAACCAAAAATTCTCTTTAGAAAATTTAACAGCAATTTTTCTATATACATTAACTTTTCCCAGGTCCTACATCATACATCTAGTTCTCAGACCATTTTTATGCCAAGAATATGTGTATGAAGTCAGCCAGGTTTTAGCCCATACTGCCTTGTCTTAATGTACTGTGTGCCATGTCCTGGACATGGGCAGATAAGATGTGAAGCAGGACTAGAACAATACATCTGCAACAAGCAATTCTTCTAAATACACAGTGGCTGACAAGTGAATAGCAATGATTCACATAGATGAATGTGTGAATGAGTCATCAGCTTTTCAGATGACCACCTCGCAGGCTGTGGTGACAGAAAAGGTTTGTGACTTCATTCTCTCTACGCTTTCACACTCCCTTGTATCTGTTTCTCTCTCACACACATCCCTCACAATTCACAGAGTAGCATTGTCCTGCCGAGAGATGTGTAATGGAAAAGATAAATGGAGGATAAAGCTAAGGTGACAGGACCATACATGCATGTGTTTTTGTGTTTGCATGTGTGTGTGTTTGCCTGCATGTGTGCACTGCACAACAGACCAGCAAACCATCTGCTCATCTCCTCTTAATGAACAAAGCAAACAGCAGGAGTCAAGGCTGTCTCCAAATCTGGAGTCACTTTATTGGTAAGCGCACACAAATGCACACATACACACATCTCTGTGCTGTTTAATCTGATTACATTTGATTGAGAACAGGGGCAAAGCAACCTTTTTAGACCTCACTCCCACATCAGTGACAGAGAAGGTCTGAAACACAATTAGCAAGCTGTTACTGTGCTCTGCTTTGCAGTCACATCTGACCACAGGCAGCCAAATAGACCTAATGGGTGGGATCTCACCAACAGGAATTAACACAACTACATCTGTGGATGATGGGGAAATGCAACACTATTAGAAAGCTGTTCGCCATATCTTTTCACATGTGATTGGATGGATTGTGAGCATTGGATCAAATGGCTGATGAGCAAGCACAGTCAGGCAAGAAGGGATACATGCTGTTTGATGTGAACAAAACTGGCAGCTATTTCTCTGAGACAAAGCAGGACCTCTGTAAAGGATGCCTGAATCATGACAAGATGTGACACTGTGCACATAAGGCCAAGGGAAAATAAGAATAAGTTATTAATCTCGATTCTGTGCAGCAATACGCTGTTAAAAGCCCAAAGGAAAAATTAGCACTGTTACCAATCTGGCAGATCACAAATCACATGACTTTGGGACACTGTAGGAGGCATGGCCCACCAGAAATAAATATTACCAGTACACACAAAGTAAATTCAAATAGATGACATGCTTGAAGATAAAAGCAGATTAGAATTGAGCTTCAGGACATTGGAGTGATGGCTGGGGTTCATAAGATAATAGCATGGTGGTATGAGTCAGAAGACAGCTCATCGTGAGGATAATCCGGGTATATGATCTGCTCTAATAAAATGCTCATAAACCCTGCCTGAAAATCTGGCTGCAGGGGGTCTATGGTTGTTAGATCAGTGGTTATCAGCCCGGGGGTATAAACCTAACTTATGGTGAGTGGACAGTGAAAAGGTCATAGATAGCAGTGACCCAGCTCTTCCTGCTGTGTGGATGCACTGTGTTGCAGTGTACAGGGACCACATTAATACGATGTGATAGTAATAAAAATTTACCGAATTCTTTCATGGATTTAATTTAGCATTGTAACCGACCCCTTTTTTTTCTCAAAAGGACATTTTAATTGACATAAGATTTATTCTTCCATTTACATTTGTGCTTCATGTGTTTTGTCAATACCCTTATTATTATTATTATTATTATTATTATTATTATTATTATTATTATT